AGCTGTTTGCCTATTGTCCTGTAGCCCATCCCAGCCTTATGCAGGTCTACAATTTTGTCACTAGTGTCCTTAGACAGCTCTTTGGTCTTGCCCATAGTGGAGAAGTTGGAGTCAGATTATGTGGACAGGTGTATTTTATACAGGTAACGAGTTCAAACAGGTGCAATTAATACAGGCAATGAGTGGAGGATAGGAGGGCTTCTTAAAGACAAACTAACAGGTCTGTGAGAGCCAGAATTCTTGCTGGTTGGTAGGTGATCAAATACTTATTTCATGCAATAAAATGGAAATAAATTATTTAAAAATATAACAATGTGATTTTCTGGAATTTTTTTGTAGATTCTGTCTCTCACAGTTGAGGTGTACCTACGAAAATTACAGATCAGTCCATTCTTTTTAAGTGGGAAAACTTGAAAAATCGGCAGTGCATCAAATATTTATTTGCCCCACTGTACACACGCACACACACACACACACACACACACACACACATATATATATATTTATATATAGTTCACACTGTGGCAGAAGGAAGAGCTTTCCTATTGTTATGTACAATAGTAAAATATACAATTTATTGTAGTGGGGGCTGTTGTACTGTTATACAGACAAGGATTAATTGTGTTCATCAGAATGATGGCATAGGGGAAGAAGCTGTCCTTGTGTCTGGTTTGCCGTCTTACACGTCTCTTTGCGTCTCTTTGCAGCTGCTACCCACCCAAATCTCCCAGTACCCCACAGAGACCGTGTCTGCCCCCTGACCACCTAAATTATATAAATCAAAAATAAACTCGAGTAATTATTCATAAGAACCTAATTAAAATTGAGACAGCTACTCTTACAGAAAAAAATAAGAAGACAATCAGTTGTGGACTATTAAATATCAGATCTCTCTCATCTAAATCTCTCTTACTGAATGATTTGATGAACAACATGTGAACATCACATTGATTTATTGTGTCTGACTGAAACCTGGTTACAGCAGGAAGAACATGTCAGTCTAAATGAATCCACCCCACCTGGTCACAGTAACTGTCACATCCCTTGAAGCTCAGGCCGAGGTGGAGGTGTGGCAGCGAGCTTCGTCTCAAGCCTATTAATCAACCCTAGACCTAAACATAGTTATACGTAACTCATTTGAAAGTCTCACCCTGAGTCTCTCACACCCAAACTGGAAAACTCAAAAGCCAGTTCTATTTGTTATTGTATACCGTCCACCTGCTCTTTATTCAGAGTTTTTAAATGAATTCTCAGCCTTTCTGTCTGATTTAGTGCTTAGTACAGATAAAATAATCATAGTAGGTGACTTTAATATTTATGTAGATGCTGACAATGACAGCCTCAACAATGCATTCTGTTCATTGTTACACTCAGTTGGCTTTTCTCAAACTGTAAATAAACCAACTCACTGTTTTAATCACACTCTTGATCTTTTTCTGACATATGGCATTGAAACTGAACATATAATAGTTTTCCCCAAAACCCTCTTCTGTCTGACCATTTTCTAATAACTTTTGAATTCACATTAATGGATTATACTCTATGTGGGAAACAATTCCACTACAGTAGATGTATATCTGACAATGCTGTTACCAAGTTTAAGGAAATAATTCCATCATTATTTACTTCAGTGCCGTGTGCCAACACAGTGGAGGGAGGCCACCTTAACTTTACTCCCACACAAGTTGATAATCTTGTTGATAGTACTGCAGCCTCCTTGCGTAATACACTTGATACTGTTGCCACTCTGAAAAAGAAGGCAGTGAAACAGAGGAGGCCCCGTGGTACAGCTCGCATCTCCGCTCCCTAAAGCAGGCATCACGAAAACTGGACAGGAGGTGGCGCTCCACTAAGTCAGAAGAGTTTTTCTTAGCCTGGAAAGATGGTTTGATAACATATAAAAAGCCCTTTATAGCAAGCTGTCCTGTTTCTATAGGTTTAACAGTGTGTCTCCTTTGTAGCATTTCTAATTGTGAGGTGGGTGGTACTCTTGGTATAGGCTACTCAATACAACCGCTGCATGTTCTGCAATCTGAGGTAGCTGCTAACCTAGCACTGTTTGCTCCTGCAGCTATCTGTACTGTGCACGGTGTTTTTCCTGGTTGCCCATCATTAAGAAGGAGCCGTGTTTGAATGCCAGCAGGAGACGATACACACACATACGAGAAGCACACAGAGCAGAGCACAGTGAGAAGTAACAGAAAACTTTCCAAAGATCGTTTTATGAGGTCCATATTGATTTTAGTTTTTTAAACTCATTTGTTTGAATCTGTGCTTTTCAACTGATGCAGCCGTAAATCTGACTCTTCTATCGATTCGTATCACTTTATCTTTACACCCCTAATTTTTATAAATTTCTATTCTCTCCTCTCTGATTTTGTGTCCCTGAACAGGATTGCCTTAAAATGCATATTGCATGAGGCCAACCGCACCTATTCCTGTGGTGCTGCTTTTCTTCTGTTTCTCCACTGCAATTCCTTACTAAATATGAACACATTCAATTTCACAGTTTAGTGCCAGAAAATGAGCCACAGAACCTTAGTAAATATCTCCCAGAGTTTCAAAAAGTGACAGACACGTGCCAAATCTGTGTGCCAGCAGTATTGGCATGATTGTTTGCAGGAGGTTTAGGGCACCTTATGCAACAAGTATGCAGCAAGCATTAGGCACTTTCAAGATGCAACTTTTCTCCCTATTCAATGCAGTCTTGGTGAACTTATATCAACCCTTATAAAAACATGCTCTAGCTCATTTCCTTTCCTGCCTAGCTTTCCTAAGACTGTCTGCTTTTCTTAAACTTGTCAACCCAGATTTCAGGTAATTTTGCAAAACATGAATAACATGAGTTGACTACATAACTACAGCTATGCTCGAAGTTCTGCAGGATTCTACTAAGGCACTGGAGTACTTGAGCTAAAGGCTAAACTCACTGTGGTACTTACATGTTCACAGTGACAAAATTGATATATTAATGTTTAGCAGGTTAGAGTTGTTTTCCATGTTCACCAACTTTGTTCAGCATGTTAACACTGGCAAATTAGCTGGCAAGTACAGCAGTGGCGAATGGGAATGTCTTTAGTTTTGCACATTACTGGTTGTAAATAAAGTATTGGCCAATAGTAAGACATTCACCACAGTTGTAACATTTTATCAAGAGGGGAACTTACAGTAAATGGCTGTGCTAGTGCCCTCCTGAGTGGTTATGGCGCGGGGCACCACGTACCCTGGGCAGCACACTGTGTGTGCGATGTCTGTGGTTCAACTCCGACTGCTGACATTTGTCGCAGTTCTCTTTCTCTGTCTGCCTCTCAGTGACTTACTTGGTAAATAAAGGCTAAAATGCTCGCCCCAAAAAAGTCTTTGCCAAAGCTTCGCCAATCCATCCGGTACATGTTGAGATAAATAGTAGGATAAGTGAAAATTTAAAATTCAGCTGGTGATCTTAAAAATCAGAGGTATACATACAGATTAGGGGTCATCCTGAATGGAATATTAATATCTATATTTTTCTTGGGCCACCATGAGTTTGACATTTTTGGTTCAGTGTGTGTCATCTTGATCTGTTGCCATGAAATTTGACATTTATACCGTGCTCAGAATTATTTGTATCTGGCTATCCCATAATTTTTCATCTAGTGCAATCATCAGGTCAAACGTTGTGTCATACTTTTGTTTATGAGTAAATACCTGCAAAACTAATGACATTTGCATAAGCTTTAGCTGTACTTCTTTTGCTGAGTTTTTGTCAGCTTAGTAAATGTTAGCATGCTAACAGGCTAAACAAAAATCAGGACTATAGAAATCAGTACTTGCTAAACATCATCCGTTTAACATTATCACAGCATTTCAGCATGCATGACCTTAGTATTTAGCCCACAGTCTTGTTAGGTACTAATAACTAAAACAGGATGAGCCTTGATCATGAAGTAAGGCTCATGTGTTCATGTCAACTGATGTCATGTTGATCTGTTGAGAATGAGCCCCATGTGGACAGAGGCAGTTGACACAGTAACAGCAATTACTTTAATCTCTTGTAGGGTTGTTATGTTAAGCACTTTTGGTTTTTGCACCAGAAAGTTATTTAAACAGTCCTTCTACAGTGCATCAGTGTCAGCTGCTCTATGTGTTTCATTGAAAGGGTAAGATTGAGGTAAAGAATTTAGTGAGAAAATAGACTAACAAAATGAATTTGTAAATTTCAAGTGTTATTTGGTGATATTGTAATTTATTTCTATTAGGTAGGTGGTCATCCCTCATTTTTGTATACAGTGCTCATTATTAACTGGTATCAGGTGTTTGTTTGTTCCATCCTTTTTATGTACAGGAACAGCTTAGCTTGTAAAACAGTTTCAGCATATTAGATAGGGCCTTTCAGTCAGTCTCTCTTCCATCTCTCCTCAGTCATGACCTGCTACTCTACTTGTCAAAAAAGGAAAGGAATACATTGGCAGAGTAAAAGTCATAAGAGTTAATGTTGCGTTCAGTCTTCTGCCGTGTGTGTTAAGGGTTATTAATGAAGTGTGTGTTGCTAATTGCCCTGCTCGAGCTGCTCTTACATGGCGATGGCCTCGGAGAAAATGCCAGTGAGAGAATGTCACTGAAAGTCTGGGTATGACTGATATATGCTGTAGCAGCTGAGCCTAGTACCAGGTTTACTCATGACACAAGACTTATCTCCTGCACATCATATGAAGTGTTAAAATGTAACATGTACACTGACTACAGCATTGGCTCAAATAGTCATCTGCTGCATTAGACTTGCTACTCTGCACATTATAACATTTATAAGGCTTGTTTTATAGTCAGTTTTGTTTATGCTCAAACTTTGACCTTTTCACTGTGGGTGTGAGAGATTTTAAATCAAAGCCAGGGAGTGGCATTTTATCTTGCTGGCTGTAAATGTTGTACAAAATCAGAATGTTCCCAACTGCCTGTGTTGTTAGCAAGTCTAGTAAACTTAGATGAGCTATAGAGAGCCAAAGTGAAACCAGAGCCTCCAAGTTGTGGTGTAAAAAAATGTAATATTGTATTGAATGTTTCTACTGCAAGAAAAACCATTTCTTACTGAAACCAGCTGTGGGTGATCATAGTCCTCTATATAAACACACTGTTACCAAACCTGAAACAGACTAACGGGTAACACATACTGGGGGCGTTGCGTCACATGGTATCATGTCGCATGCATCACATGAGGCCTGCAACACACACCAGGAGCAGTGCAAATTCAGTGTGGGACAACTGAAGTGGTATTTCAGTATTTCATTGTTTTGATGCGCGTTGACACCGGGATATAGGACAATGATGTATTCTGGCACAGCGACACACATGTGCCCGCAATGACACATGCCAGTTCACTGTTGGTGTGTGGGCTTGCATTGAAAACATTGGGTGTGGGTGTTTTTATATGCATCACATGCCGTCAGTGTGCATTGCCCTTAATAAGCAAGCTAATGAGTTAAACTTTTGTAAGCAGTTGTATAATGTATTACTTTCCTCCTCTTTTGCTTTAAAAGAAATCTACTAGCAAGACAAGATCAATTCTTATTTTAGGAGTGAATTCCTTAAAATGAAAGTCATTGTCTTGAAACAAGGGAAACCTTTGCACACAGAAAATAGAACTTAATATTAAACCCTTTGCAGAATAAAGTGAGTTTGAGTAGGAGTACACACAAACAAAAACATATGCTTTAGAAGAGAGTGTGAGTAATAACAGAAGATGAAACTGTGTTGTCCTTGCCTGATCCTGTCTCTTCTTTTCTGCTGCAGCTCTGTGAGTCTCTGGAAGAGCTGCTGAATGTAAATGGAGAGCTGCGGAGTGAAGGCCAGGCCATGTGGACTCTGCTGGGGGGCATCCTAGGCCAGGTACCACTCCCATCACTGCCTTTTCACACACTTTCTCTCCTGTCTCTTTCACACACCCAGTTCTCCATGCAGAGATTATTTGTTGTGAAAGTCTGTGAAATGCTCCTGTTTATACATCTCCTTTTTTAGCGTAGGACTGATTTTTGATGAAGAGTTATCTGGATTGCAAGTAGCAACCCACATGGCCAGCAGTGATGTGATACTGCAGCCTGTAATAACCCTGCTGTTTATAAAAATCCTTTCATTTTGCACTAACTGATTGACCTGTCATTTGCCATGAAGTCAGACCTAACTGTGAAGGTAAAAGCTGTCTCCTACTTCTTGTTCCTATGGAAACCAGTTGCCATGTTGTGCCACTATGGCTGATGGTCTATTTAATGAATGTGAACTGCGTTCTACAGAAATAGCATGATGTTTCTTGGTTTTTGAGAAACAGTCAACTCAAACATAGGTACACAGAGATATTAGTAATCCTTTAATATTATAGCAAGCATGCAAATGTGGAATGTATAAGGTCTTTGTTTTATATTAAGCTGCATCTAATTGTGCAACTTGTCAGCACCTGACCCCAAAATGTCTCTTTCTAATCCTAAAAGAAATGTTTACCTGGAGCATATAGAGCTAATTACTTACCAGGGTTTTCCTGCATAGAAAATTATGAGGCAGCTGCCTCCATCAAATTTCATACTACCTCCAGCTCTTGACAAAACTCTAGTGGGTGTCCTCAGGGAAAACTGAGTTTTCTATCAAGGATTTCTGTTATTCATAACTGTGATTGCAGCAATATGCCAGTATAGTGGTGCTGTATTGTAATCAACACAGTGTACCAGTAAAGGTGCTGCTAAAACTGCCAAAGAGGAAGAAAACCACTGGAATTTATAGAGCGCTATTTTCCCTAAAGCAGGGATCAGTGTTGCCGGAATCAGTTACTTTCTTTTTTTTTTTTTTTTTTTAAGCGACTAGCAACAAGTCTGATGACTTTTTGGACACAGTTTAACTACTTTATCTAGAGAACATTCACCAGGACTGTCTGTGAGGGTGTAGTCTTGCCAGACCTAGGAATGTGCCTCTTGGCTTTTACGCTGTCAGTGAGTGGAAGAGAGGAGAGGAACAGTATGTTGAATTGACTGCTGAATTGGCAGGGACATGAATGAGCTGCACATCTGCATACTAGAGTTCCTAATGTTTCATCCTCATATTTTCATACAACCTTTTCAGTTGCATTGTGCTCCCACACTTCAGGCTGCAGCTGGCTTTATGAGACAGTAATATACAGACTACAGACTGGATAACTTAAAATGTCATGATTTTAACATAACATCATTCTAAGCTAGAAAAACAACAAATAATGAAATAGTTGTTTTAAAAAATAATGACTT